CCCAAAACCCAAAGTCAAGTTAATTCCCTTTCTAGAAAGTCTCGAATAATCCAGCATCGTCGTCTCCATATTTCGCGGCCTTGATGCAGCGAATTGATTCCCAGGAACACAATCGCCAGCGCCCACACTCGGCCTGCTGCATAATCACAATCTCAATTTCACCCAACTGACCAAGCTGGCCGACCTGGTGGTCTCGAAGCCCAGTTCTGCTACAAGGGTGACCGACCATGTTCGTCACCTTCACAATATTCTTATGGGATTCTACTCTGCTTCGCGCGGCTTTCACCCTCCTTCCTCAGCCGTGGCGGACAAAGCCCAACAGCGTCTGAGCTCGAAGATCACGTTCACTATGTTGCTCATAGACTAATGTGCAAGGCCTCACATGCATCTCCCACAGAAGCTGTTCCGTCATCTGCACGGCGGTGAGATCTCCAGGTTTTGGACCCATTCATATGCTCGAATGAGATCCTACCAGGTGCCCTCTCTGCCGCATTGTCTCCATAACGCCTGCGTCAACCGTCTCATTTTGACCGGTGACTGACTGATCATGATCTGATGGTTTCCTCTCTTCGGAAGATGTTATGCAATATTCTTCCCGAATCAGAGGCTGTCTCGCTCCACTAGAGTCTATACTGATGCTTGCTATTAGTTTAACTCGGAGCGTGCCATTGTATGATTGCATTCTTCGTCTGCAACCTAGCCCGGGCAGGATTCTTGAATCAAAAGCCATTGAAAGATCTTGCAGCTACAGCAGTGCATCGTCGGCCGAACGGCTGCACCTTCATGTAGGGGTGAAGCACCACTGCCTATTGTACCGTATTCTGCTGCGGTCGCGAAGCGATATTCATACAATGGCAGTCGGTGAAGCTGCATATCCTCCGAGTCCTGGCCTTACATTATGGGTTCACTGAACGTCCAGCACGCATATCCTCCGTGACTCGGCATGACATGATATCATGGCTTTTTTTCTCTGACCTGTGGTTGTGATGTACTGTACATACAGTCAACTCTATTCCGTGTATCCGCTGGCATCAGTTAACTTTTGGCATTGCAGTTGCCTCAGCTTGCATCAGAAGTGAGGGTGCTGTTACCTCAAGTCAAGGACTCGGACTATACGGAGCAATCTAATCACCTTTCCATGCCAAATAAAACCCAATTTGGCACCAAGTAGATATTGTCTCGAGAATTTACCTACCCAACACAAGGTTTGGGCTCTTACCGAACAATGTCCGCTGTATGTGTACTGTAGACTGTGAATTGTGAAAGCAAGTCAACACCCACTCTACACATCTGCGTTCCTTCGAGCCTTCTGGGCTTGACAGTATGATCAGTGTGCGTCGAGCATCTCCTGATTCCATACTTCGTACTGCTGGCGAGGCATCCACGAGTTTAAACCTTAGAACTACGGCGGCGGGCTCTATGCTGGCGCTAACCTCTTTGGGAAGCGAGATCTTCTGGCCCGGCCCCGGGTTCTCGAACTTCCCCTCCAACGCTCTTCAATCACTAACCAAGCCTGGATATCCAGGTCCCAGTACGCGCGCGTGTATCTTCATGGATCATCTATAGAGCTCTGACTCGACGCAATACGTCTCACTTTGGATTTTCTGGCCTACAGTCATCGCCCCTCAATCCGCCATGACACTGTTCTCTTCGCTATGTCACGCTCTTCCCCGGAACCGACTTTTTCGTCCAGCGATCCCTTGAGACCCGAGTCTCAGTTCACCTATCGCCAACTCCAGCTTCTTAGGCAAGGCTCGACGGCGACGCCTCTTCGCGTGATCGCGCACGTGGATCTCGATGCCTTCTACGCCCAATGCGAGATGGTGCGGCTGGGCACGCCGCGCGACGTGCCCCTCGCCGTACAACAATGGGACTCGCTCATCGCCATAAACTATCCTGCCCGCTCCTTCGGGATCACGAGAATGATCTCCGCCGGTGAAGCCAAGAAGCTCTGTCCCGACATTGTCCTGCAGCATGTTGCAACCTTTCGAGAGGGCGAGGGCGGGAAGTGGGCTTACCGCGACGACGCTTTTAAGCGGGTGGGCACGGATAAAGTGTGCTTGGATCCATACCGGGCGGAGTCACGCAAGATCCTCAAGGTGATGAAGGAGGAACTGTCCCGCTGGCATGCGAAGATATCTGGCGAGGGACTCGCGGCCGCGTCCGTACCGCAACCTGGTCTTGAGAAAGCCAGCGTTGACGAAGTGTTCATGGACTTGTCGCCTATTGTATATGGCATCTTGCTTGAGCGGTACCCTGAACTGCGCGTCGGGTCGCATATCGATGATCGGGTCGCGCGGCTACCTCCCCCGCCAACGACTGCATTGGCATGGAGCGCTGAAGATTGCTTGGTCGATCTGGACGAGAACGAGACGGAAGTGGATGACCCGGACTGGGACGACATCGCCATTTTGATCGGCTCTGAGGTTGTGCGCGCGGTCCGCAAAGCTGTTTGGGACAGTCTTGGCTATACCTGCTCCGGGGGAGTTGCGAGGAACAAGATGATGGCGAAACTTGGAAGCGCCTGCAACAAGCCCAACAAGCAGACGATAATCCGGAATCGTGCAGTACAGAATTTCCTGGGAGGGTTCAAGTTCACGAAGATCCGGATGCTCGGGGGCAAACTCGGGGATCAGGTCACTGCCATGTTTGGAACAGAGCAGGTGAGCGATCTGTTGAAGATCCCGCTGGAACAACTCCGAGCCAAGCTGGATGATGATACCGCCACTTGGCTGTACGGTATCATTCGAGGCGACGATCGAAGTGAAGTCAACTCTCGAACGCAGATCAAGTCCATGCTCTCGGCTAAATCGTTCCGACCGAGCATCAACAATCTCGATCAAGCGGAGAAGTGGCTGCGCATTTTCGCAGCTGATATCTATGGTCGTCTCGTCGAGGATGGCGTGCTGGAACACAAGCGTCGCCCGAAAACAGTGGCTTTGCATCATAGGCAAGGCGCCCAGGTCCGCTCACGACAAATCCCAATTCCAGGATCATCGCCAATCGATGAGGACCTGCTCTTCAGCCTTGGCTTGACGCTTTTCCGACAAGTCATTGTCGACGGGCGCGCATGGCCCTGTGCAAACATTTCTCTGAGCGTTGGTGGGTTCGAGGACGGGGTATCCAAAAACAAGGCTATCGACTCCTTTCTCCTTCGAGGGGAGCAAGCGAAGTCTGTACAGAATACTCGGTCCTTGTCGAGCGACGATTTGATAGATGCTCAACAACCGAACGAGAAGCGTCTCAAGACTGAACCCGACGGCATTCGACGGTTCTTCGCTAACCCCTCGGGGGGTGACGCGTCGCCTCCAGCGACTGAAACAAGCCTAGTTGAGACAATACAAAGTTCAGAGGTTGAACAAGCTGCTCGGGACACTCCGCCAGATGATGATGCACGAAACTCCGCTGACGCTTTATCCTACTATTCCTGCAGTCGATGCGGCAAGTCGGTACCTGAGCATGAGAGAGCTGAGCATGACGATTGGCACTTTGCGAAAGACTTGGTAGACCAAGAGAACCAGGCCACCCGAAGCTCCCCGCAGACTCAAGCATCACCACCTAACCTTGGAGCATCTCACTCACGTAGCCGGGGTGGTCGTAGTGGTCGCGGTAAGCCCGAAAGGGGACAGACCCGCTTGAATTTTGGGTAGATCTCTATACATTGGCTTGGCAATATCTTCAAAGCTTTCGAGGATATTGGTTGGACTGTGAAGCTTATTAGCTGCGATTGCATTGAAAAATCGGTGTCAAATGATACTTTGTGGCAGCATTTCCAGCCAACACCACTTGACGGACGGTCGACGTATAGACCGAGGGCAGCCCATGGCCGGCTATTAAACCATCTGCTCAGTCACTAACTATGGCAGAAGCAAACACGCTAGAATGGTCATGGTAATGACGTCGCATGGCCTTCCGTTCTTTTCGTTGCCCCCGGATCGCATTGTCAAGAGCGCCGCCATGGACATACTACAACACATGCAGCTCATCTCTTTGGTAGTCTATAGACTGAACAAGGAACAACATATTACACTCTATGCCTGATTTTGGTGGTTTTGCCACTCACTGAACTAGTATCTAGTCAGTCATTTAGAGATCTTTGTAGCCTAGTTTCTCTACATGTCCTTTACAGCCTGTGGTAGTGTAAGTATATAATCGAGGAGAGCACCCGTCATTATATAAACTTCCGGTCCCAGGCGGGAGCATCAACCATGGTCCATAGTGAACCCACTCCATATCTTTTGACCCCAACCATCTACCATTCTAACCACAAAATCTTGATCTCAGGAGCAACGAATAGATTGTGTACTTACACCACTATACCACTTCAGCATCACACTCAAGTCGCATGAACCTGGCCAACGGTGCGAGCGAGCCCATGGGCCCGACAAGGCAGCCCACTGCAGCATGACATCAGCCGATCACAGCCGCGGGGTCATTTGCCTTTTTGGCTAACAATTCAACTAATGTGATGTGATGTGTGTGCAACAATACTATTCCAGCTACAACAACACTACCTCCAATCTCTTCATTATCCACATCATCACCATCCTCTCTTTTTCCCAACTGACAAAAATGGTCTACTCGTCATAACCCCACCAGCAAACTCCTCATCGCTGCTGAATTCTTAAATCAATCTCAAATACGAGTCATCATCGCTCCCCTCCTCCAACCCATACAGAGACCCCGCACAGCCCAACCCAACAAACAACCCCTCCAGCCAGAAGAGTCACAGTCACAGCCACAGCCACAACTACTCCTCAATCACTTCCACCAAACGTATAATCCTCACCACAATCCTATCGCGTCGCCTAATGAAGCCAAACATAAACACCCGCAAACATCCAGACGCATCCACCAGCTCGTTACTATCTCCCTATCACACGCCGTGTAGATAACTCCCCTTTGACCTAGTCGAATCAACGCTGCAATACTAGCCAACTCTCCACTAAACGAGAATCACCTACCTCCCTCCTTCCCAAAGAAAGAAGAACACTTCCACAATGCCACGAAGATCTTACGCCCACGATGCCATCGAAGAAGATATCTACGGCCGCGAGCGCGATCCGTACTCCCGTCACAGCAGAGGGAGAGACCGACGCCGCCACTTCAAAGAAGAAGAGGAGGAACTCCGGTACGACCGACGCGTACCGCCGCTGCCGCCGCCGCCTCCGCCGCCTCCACCATCAGCACCGTCGATGCCTGTGCCGGTTGAGAAGTTTAAACGGATGCGGATACGGGATGAGAGAGCCCGGGGCCCGGAGATGATGATCCCTGTGGCCCCGGCGCCGCCGGTTGCGTCGCAGCTACTGAGGGAGAGGGAGAGGGAGGAGCCCAAGGCGAAGAAGCCTGTGCATCGGCCGGTGCGAGAGATTCTTGAGCCGAGAGAGAGGACGCGGGGGTTCGAGAGGGAGAGGGATCGGAGGGGAAGGCCGAGGTATCGCGGGGTTGATTTGGAGAAGGAGAGGTTTGTTCTGGAGGAGGAGGAGGAGGAGGAGGAGGAGGAGGAGGGAGGGGGAGGAGGAAGAGAGTTCCTCATCAGAGTCGGAGAGTAGTAGTCTCGAGGAGAGTGATACGGAAGAGGAGGAAGAGGATATGGTCATTGTCGGAAGGCACGGGAGGCCGAAGCATGGCCACTTGTCACGACGTGCAGAATTAAAAGAGGCTCCGAGAGGGATTCTTCGCAACCCGAAAATAGAGCAGGACGAGTTGCTGCTGAAGCGGCAGTATGAGCGCACTCGCAGCAGCGGTCCAGTGTATGCTACTGCTACGCGGACGCGACACAAGCACCGCCATCACCGACACAGAGGTCTCGAAGATGCGGACGGTGAGCTCGACGAGGAAGTGGACAAAGAGGAGGTCTTCCGCCGAAAGTATAGGGAGCGCAGACGCGGTGGAGATGTGGTTGAGGAGGAAGAGGAGATCCGACGGTCTTCGTCGGAGATGGAAAGGTCTCGACTTCCGTCCCCAAAGAGATATCCTGCCTTCTCGGATAGGCATGTCTACGAGGGTACTTTGCTCTGACTTCCCTCTCTCCAACTTAGTTATTGGCGCTGACTTCGACCCAGATCACCGAAAGACTCATCGCCCTCGGCTCTCTAATTCTGACCTCCTTTACGAGTCTGAGACCCATCGTCGGTCTGTCCACGCGTCGTTCTTCATCATTGGAGTATGCAGCTAACGCTTGGGTAGTGAGAGGTCCAGAGGACGACTGGATAGGAATGAGATACCTATAATTCGACCCAAGAAAAGGGGCGGTCACCCTCCACCGCATCCAGACCCTTACCGACGTTCGAAAGACGGCCTTCCTCTCGTTGCCCCCGAAGCGACGTTTACTGAGCGCGAAAAAGAAGTGCTCACTGTGGTGCGCCGCGACGGCAGCCACGAGTCCCTCAAGGAAGAAGAATTCGTTGAACAGGACTATTATACGCCTCCAGGCCATCAGCCATTGCCGAGGAAAAACTCGTTCAAGGAAAAGGACCAACTTGAGGTTATCGGGCCAGTCCCCCGAGCGAAACGTGACAGAGCCCCGCCGGACACTGATGCGTTGCGATACCCTGACCGGGATCCGAAGCGTGGCTTTGGTGAGCCCCGACAGTCCGACGAGGACTCAAGCCGTCAGTTTGGTAGGATAGGAAGACGGTTTGTCGGTGTCAAGGACCATCGCGAGCGCCTGTGGACCGAGATCACGAGGGACTTGGTCGTGAAGGAAGCTCTCGAACGGGCGGGCTATGAGTATGAGGAGACAGAAACGTCGTACTTCATCTTTACCTACTTGGAGAAGGTGCGGACGCACTCTGGCGCTGCCGCGTCATTGTGAACCCCTAGCTGACTGCTTCCGTATAGGAGCAAGTGGATGCACTGATCGAGCATTCGGAAGACATTCGCCGCGCACGCCGCCGTCGGGTCCAAGAGATCCACCGCGAGCGAACCTCGTTGCCTCCTCCTACAACTCCTGGGCGTCCGCCACCACCGCCGCTGCCTGCATCAGCTACGGACAAGGCCGGCCCCCTACTGCTGGACAGCCCACCCCCACGCTTCCCTCGAGAGGAACGACGACGAACGGAGCGAGAGATGGTTGCAGAAGGAGGACGCTGGAGGCCACCCCCGCCTCGGGCGGAGCGGTGGTGATAGCTGACTTCTTACAGAAGCAGTACATGAGTGGAAAGCCCGCTGCACATGTGTCCGAGACTGCATTGACATTTCATGTGTGATACCCCGAATGAGTTTTGGTTTACAGTTGGTGAGGTCCAAGGTGATCGGTTGGCCTTAAATCCCTTGGGAGCAGCCCTCCATGTTTGGAGCTATACACGACTTATCAATCTACGCTTCAAGACATTACTTAGACGCAGCCGAATTGGAACGGCTTACTGCAGTATGCACTGCACCAGGTGGTTTAATGCTATTTCAAAACTCCAATCTCGACGTCTGCTTCACAGTATACGGTAGACCCGGCGTCTGACCCCCTTTTTTTTGCAATGGTTTCTTGAGCTCAATTACAACGACTGGAACAAGCATCATTTGTCTGACTTGTCTTCATCGATCTCGTATCATGTTACAGCGAAGATCCGAAGATAGGTCACAGGACGAATCGGCGCCGGGCCTGAATACATAACTCTGTAGTACCCGACGACAAAACTCGGACGGAGCCTTCCATCTGACAGATCGAGCGGCGGCCTGTCATGCCTGTCAGCTGGGATCCCGACCGACTTGATGTTTCACTCTACTCTCGCGTGGACAGTCCTGCTCGGCTTTATCAAACTGAAAGGCTCGAAGTCTAGGAGTCAATAAAAATGATTGAAACAGAGAGGAAGAGAAGCCTTTCCCAGCGTCGTCTCTCTCTGCCTTTCCCGTACGGTGTCCTACACATCATATCAATGTGTCGAGAACCCCATTTCTCTACTGGGCACCCGTCTGTCTACCCTCAAATCTCAGCTTGACAACCCGATCCCACATTACTAATCCCCTCCATCCAACACAGTAACTTAATCCAGTCCTCCACAGCCGTACGTACCGGTAGTCCACAGTGCCCGTCTTGAGTACAGTTCATACAGTCCATACATAGTATTTACAGCTTCCCAAATTTAGGAGCACAGCCTAGTAAGCCGGTGGATCAACTGACAAGCCACTAGAGCAAATTAAAAGTGTCCCACAAAGGGAGGTGTGGAGGGGCCGATGAGAGACACTATCCGATGACTTATTTCAAGGTGGTCTGTGGCTGCTATTTTCGCCTTACCATAGTGGCAGGAGCCGAGCTTTTTGAACAAACGGGATTATTCATCAGTTGATGGGCATTATGACCATTCCATTCTATTTTGGTGATGGTCATGCTGTCTGTCAGTGCTGATATGGGAATAGACATTACGGGACGAAGTACTCGTAGATTAGGTATTGGATCCTTTGGCCCCGGAAGGAATTCTTTTCCCTTGGGTTGAGTTGGGTACTTGTGGTTGGAGGGTGGAGTTGGATTATGGATGATAACTTATGGGGTCGCTGTGAGAGAGGGATGTTCGACTGAATTGTCACTAGTATACGCCCTATGAATCGCTCTCTCTCTCTCTCTCTCTCTCTCCCTTTCGCTTATACTCGTAAGATTGAGGGATGAGAGTGATCGGCGTGTGAGGGACTGACTAATCCAATCCTTGTCCACTTTTTCTTTTCCCCCCTTCAGCCACTTCTCAGCCGCCTCGCTGGCGGTGTTTCGCATTGGGGGGGGGGGGGGGCGTTGGATACTCGGTCTGGGAGGGATCGTCTATTTGACTTCTGGGTGAGGTGAAGTGTGCCTGTATCGAAATTCGTAGGAAGATGGCTGGCAGATCTTCGGACACTACGGAGAACAGTGACTTAAGGAAACCATCGTCTCGCACCAGCCACATGTTGTTGTTGTTGTTGTTGTTGATGATGATGATGATGATGATGATGATGATGATGGAGGTGGTGATATCCCAAAGTCAATTAGGTTTTCTTCTTGACTTGTCAGTGCCACTGTCATCTTTTTGGGGCGTGTTTCATCCGCGGGAGAGCCGTAGCTCCCGCAAACTTCCTCTTCCCCTTCCATCCCTCTTTCATTTCCTGTCTTGTTGGTTTTCCTGTCTCGATGTTTGAGGATTTCGCCCGACTGCTGATACTGCTGGTAGTCTGCTTCAGAAGCGATGGCCACAACAACACCGGAGCTCTGGAGATCTAGTGGTTTGCTTACTCCTACTCGTAAGTTACTGTGATCTCAGAACCTAAGGACGGGATCTCGGAAGAGCAGCTCCAGTATTGTCGTCATCAACTCTCTTAGCTCTGCGCCGGTGCATGTGCCCAGCAATGGGGTAAATTTGATAACCCGCCATGGATTGGCTGACACGCAGCCCTGCACGAAGCCTACCGTAGGCTAGTCTACTCCGTACGGTGTACGGAGAAGTTAGTTGCTCGATGATGCGTACAGTAGTAGGGCGCACCTCCAGGGATATAGCTGCATGTGCACACAACAATGGGAAGTTAATGCACGGGTGGATGAACATCCCATGCTTTGGAAGTTCCGAGGAATGAACTCCTCAGCCAGCCAGCCCGCCAGCCAGCCCGTGCGTGCGTGCGAGTTTCTTGGTGGTTTGCGTGAAGAGCCCGCGAAATATCATCGAGGTGACTCCGTACTGTACAGTAAAAAGTCTTGAACCTCGAATAGCCCGGGGGAAGTTGACTTCTCTCCGTTGCCCATCATCGAAGCATCACCAACAACATCTCCCACGTAATCATGATGCGCCCACCTACACAACTGCATGGCTGGTCTGGAGATAGCCGAAGCTTGTCTGGCTGTCGTCTCCGCCTGAATGCTCCAATTGTACGCTGTGCCTGGGGGCTTTGACACGAGGATAATCGAACCTTGGAAAGCGCTGGACGGTGCAGTGGACATTTCCTTGGGTGTGTCAACGGGACTGACCGGCTGCAAACCAACCCCCCATCATCACTTCGCTCCACATCCATGGGCACACACCCACGGTCGCTCGTTCGAGTCCTGGTTTGGATGCTTCCGGTGAGTTTACAAAGATATGGTTCTTCTCATCCCTCCTCAAGGCACTGAAATCTATCCGAGAGTCTAGATACTCCTGGAGTTCTTTCCCGCCTGTTCCAGCCCCCTCTCGATCGCCCCCAGCTCATCGAATACATGTGTACATCACATCATACGCGGACAGCGCAACTCTGGTCAGCTCCGATCCCTTCTAGACCACGGTGTTCCGTCTTGTCTCGCCTGGGCTGCGACTCCACCGGTGCAGATTCTAAGACCAGCAGCTGTCCCGTGCGGTGGCGAGTGCTGCAGCAAGTGGTGCAGTGCAGTGCAGAGCAAATAATAATGCAATAATACTAAATCTGCCGTGCCGATACAAAGGTGGTCGTTACCTCTTTCTTTCCTGGGAAGGCCACCACCATCGGCCCGGGGCATCAGTCACCGTTCAACTTTTTTGCGGTCAGCTTTCAGGCAACAAACACCACTCTTTCTGTTTGTTGACATTTTACTACTTTCCTCCAAGCTAAACCGTATATTCCTCCAGCCGAACAAGCCATCTCGATCGACCTAGTCAGCCCTGAACTTCCTCAGCCACGAAGAACAGTCATTTATCTCGACCAAGCAAGCAGTAAAGTAGGCCACGCAGTGCCTGATCAGCTCCCACCAATTGACAGCCCCGGATCTGCGTCCGTGGCCTGTTCTCAAACGCTGAATAACTTGGCTCGGGTACAAAAGTGGCTGACCCCGGCAGATCCATCTCCCTTCCACTTTCTCTCTCTCCTTACCATGCAATTTTGTACAGTACGTACGTACTGTCCTCCGTACTTTACGTACTCCCCCGCTGCCCGTCCGCCGTCTCTCGCCTAGCCTGTGTCAGACAGAGTGACGCACGCAGGCAGAGAGAATAAATTCGCAAATCAAAATCTTCCCCAATAAGTCTGGAGTATTGTCGGTGGTCGGTAAGAAGGTCAAAAAGGAAACGGAAGGAGGAAGAGGAAAATTGGCACCGAGGATCGCGGCCGCCCCCATCGCCCTCTCCCACTCCCAGAATGATGTTTCAGAACAAGGATCTATCGCACTGTGTCATGCAGCTAGTGACTGGATCTGTGCCGAATAAACATCGAGGTTTGCTTGGTGGGCTGCCTGCCGGTGCTCGCTGCGACTTTAAAATTGGGGGGGGGTTTGTGTGTTTGTCTGGCCGGACTGCGCCTCTCAGTTGCGTGATTGTTTGGATTGCCAGTATGGTTGTTATACTCAGTAACGTGGAAGCATTGCTTCATTCCTTTGTTCAGATGCTGTTGCTGTCTGTTGTTGTTGTCATAGACCTTTTTGGCCCCCCTTTATCACCACTTGTGGCCCATTTGCCTCCTTTCCTGCCTCTTCTTTTTTTTTCTCCCACCTCCCTCCGTAGTAGGTCCAATTGCGGTGGCGCCGTATCGTAAGCCTCCTGTTGAGGACTCCTAGCAGATCGGAATTTGGATTCGGTCCACGTATGGATGTAGGCCGATGGGTACCAGATGGGTAAGGTACGAAGGTGTCCACTACACGGTACTGGGGGCGGGAGTCAGTGGTTCCAGATACTTCTCTATCTTCGGCCTGAGTCTAATCTCGAGATCGCTCACTGTCAGTGAGTGTCAGTCAGTGAGTGATAATACTGATTCTATAGATGGGGAGTGTTGTTTTTCATATCAAGGCGGAGATCAATCAGTCCGTCCGTGGTTACCTAGCACCAACTCAAGATAGTCTCTCGACTTAGTACTTAGTACTCCGTACTTCCGTAGTGTCTAGTCTAGTGTCGACTGGATGAATCGAGGAGATTGCCTTAATGCTCCGTACCAGCAAAGACGCGTATGGTCCCGACGGTTGGTGAAGCCACTAAACCCGAATGTAGCCTGCAGGGCCCCACTCCCAAGCGGGTAAGCCGGATTTTTATTTTTATTCTTTCTGCCTCTTGTTGTTTTTTCTGTCCCATTCTTTTTTTGGTGTTGTGGTTGTTTTTTTTTTTCTTCTTTACTTTGTTATTCAGTATTCCCCATACTTCAAAGTACACGAGAATGTAACTTATTGTATGCAGACGATTCAACCAGAGACATCGCCATGAACTGTTTCTAATTGCCTTTTCATGGTGGCAGTAGTGCTTGGTTATTATCTACGAGTATCTGGAGTCCAGTCTATACTACGTACCTACCGTACACAGCAACACCAATTCTAGAGTGATGACTGGCTGACCAGGTGGAACATCGGGACTGAGCCGGATCTGGTCCCATCCTGATTCTTACCACTAAGACTACGGTAAGACTAAGACTAAGACTCAGACTAAGGACTAAGTCAGTGACTACGACGCCCGCCGCTTCTACTGTGCTGCTGCTGCAGCAGTACGGGTACTGGGCTAGTTCGTCGTACCAGAAGAAGACACCAACTTCCTTACCCAGAGCAGTCAAACCAACTCTCTCCCCCATCTGTTTAGTTACTTACAACTTGCTTGGATTTCTTGCTTTTCTTGCTTTTCTCACCTTCTCTTACTCTCCTTCTTTTCCCTCTTGTTCTCTTGTTCTCTTTCTAGACTCTAAGTGAGCTAGTTCACCAACTAACACGATCGCTTCGTTTGTTCTCTGTTCTTCCTTATCTGCGCTGTCTTTCCGGCTCCATACGATCGCTCTGTTCCTTGCCTAGCAAGCCATTCACTTCCCCCCCTCCCCTGTTCGGAGGTGACGATGCCGATAACCTGCTAATCCTACCGGTGTCGCCTTGGATCCTGTACCTTCGATTCTCTTCCCCCCTCCTCTCCCCTCAATCTCTGGCTTTGCGTCCCTTCGCTTGTAAGAACGCCCCCTTCAATTGCTCGCCAAGTTTCTACTGCCTCTCGTTGTTCCAATTCGACCCGGAGCCGTCGTTTGGTCAAATCTCTGGTAGGTATCAGTGCTCGATGTGGCCGCTGGAGTTGGTGGCTGATCGACATTAGTTACTTTTACCTTCAACCAAGCCCAAAAGGAACCTTTGGCGGGACACCGATCCGACCAGCAATTGTGGAAGCTCTAGGTCGTCCCCGATCTCGGCACGGGCCTTGCGCATAACATTCTCCAACTTTGAAGAACCCGCAAACAATTTCTTCAGACCGACCGATCGGGTGATTGGAAGGTGTGGTGACTGCAAAGCGTGATACATTTCGGACCAGTCGACTCGAATTAAGGAGGTCGCCGCCTATCCCTCTCGAAATCTCACTTCACTCAGTCCGGTTGTTCGTAGCAGCAACCTTGAAGACGACTTCACGTACGATACTTCAACTGCACTCGCACATCTGATTCCCGGCACCTCCACTGCTGGTGAGATCGTTGCCTGCCATGCGGGCTCAGCTTGTGCTCCCGTCACTGCTCGGGGCGATCGCCTTACTCGCCTGGCCAGTGTCGGTCTCCTCATCTATCACCTACTGTTCGTCCGTGAACACGGGATCTTCTCAAGCCGCAAGTATGTCTTCGTCTATGGCAGCTTTCGGCTCGGTTCTGACCGCTTATAGATGAGAGTACGTTCCAGTCAAACGGTCTCTGCGAGGATCATTGCAGTTCCTATGCGTTCGGTATCCTGCAAGGCTACGACTGCTGGTGTTCGAACATTGCTCCGAATTCTGCAACCAATGTGAACAACTCCAAATGCAGCCAAGATTGTCCTGGGTATCCGGATGATAGCTGTGGAAGTACTTCCAAGGGCCTGTATGCCTACGTCGAAGTCGTCGGCAACCAGCCATCAGGCACCGCGACCGTCTCGTCCACTTCAACCACATCAAGTTCGGTCAGTAAACCTCTTGGCCGGAATCTTTGTTATCGCACTGGTGAAGGATGCGCATTACGGGGCTCGAATGGAACCCGGTTCGATCAATCGAAACCGCTAGGGACCACATCGTACTCGATCGAGATAAATGCTCTTGAGGAGATTGTGGCGCATCCTTGTCGAGTCGCGATTCGAAGAGACCGTATGAACAAGACCACCGCACAGACACTGACTTCTCTTAGACATCCTCGACACAATCGTCTTCTACGACATCAGCTGCCACTACAACTACTGGCCAGACTGTGTCGACCGAGACCAATGCCGGGGGTACGGTCAAGACGGTCACTCTTGAAGCAACACAGCCGACCGCGACGGCGTCCAGTACTGGCACGTCTTCCAAGTCCACTAGCAGCTCGGGCATGAGCTCGGGAACGATTGCTGGTATTGTGGTGGGATCCATTGGTGGTGCCCTTGCAATCATTGCTCTGATATTCGTTCTCTTCTTCGCAAAACGCAAGCAGCGTGCGAGCAGCCCTGATCCAAGTGTACAGAACATCCTACTGGACGGAAGACAAAGCAAAGGCTCACAGATGAGTTTCATGAAGGGCATGTTTTCCGATAACCATAGTCATACGCTATCGGCCGGATCGTCGATCGCCGCCCACCGTCTGCCGACCTTCACGGACAACCGCATGAAGACGGATACCGTTCTGTTTGCCAATGGTCGTCGTGACAGCGATGCATCGCTGCAAGACAACGAGGACTACTCTCGTCCTGTTCTACGGGTCAGTCATGTGTTTTGTTCTGATGATGATGCTATGTCTCCGGCTAACGATAATCCTAGCTCACGAACCCGGACTAGAGTATCAGTTGATTACCGACCAAACCCGTCTCCTTGCGTTTGTTTCTATTGCATTTGCGCTCTCCTATGTCTATAACAATTTTCGATTTGCGTGTTTCGGCGAAAACAGCGGTGTTATGATACCCATTTGTCACATAATCCTCTCGACATTTCACACACATTTTATTCGACTGCCTTGGGAGATGATGATGAGCTCGACCCACCACACCATCTCCGCCACCGACCAACCACCCGGTTCCTCGCTATTTCTCCCCTTTTCCGCCGACCGAACCCCGCTTTTCCCAGCCAGCTCACTTTTACTGACCAGCCCACCGACCGACTGCACTGCACCCCCTCTTTCTCCTCGATCATCTACGCGTCATGTATTTTTGACCGATGACGCCATAATCACCTCGATCGGAGAAAGGGGGAAAGGGGGAGAGAGAGATCCGAGAGGAGGATAACATCTCCAGCGACCGAACACAACCTCACTCAGGCATCCTTGATCGGCCTGGGTCCGGAGGAAGAAGTCACGGTCGCTTCAGTGTTGCAGTGCAGTGCAATGCATGCAGCCCTCCCATCAATTGTCCGCTTGATGTCGACAACCACACCTCTTTCAACACCCCCTTAAACTCCTCCTCTACAACCTATCCTCGCCATTCCAATGGTCGAAGTTCGTGTATATCGACACACAGGACCTGTGCCACCAGCACAGGCTGCAGTACATACTCTAATAGATTAGCAGAGTCCTGTTATTGTGCTCTTTGCCCTTTTCCTTTTTCTTTTTCTGTTGTTACCGTTTTCTGTCAGTGTCAAAGCTAAGCTAAGCTAAGCTGTACCTGAACCGTTGTTTTTCTTCCTGCGGCCATCTGTGCACACCTTGAAAATTGCATTGTTTAAGACATTTGTTGATTGGCCGGTGGCAGCTGTGCTGAGCACCATGCACCCAATGGGCCTGTAATATCCCGCCACCATGTGATTACTCTAGCCTCGATGTATGGACATTAGCTCGATTATTTGATATAGATCATCGTGAAATTTACAGCCTGTGGTTGAACACCCGAACCACCTGGAATTTCTGTGCGGGTACATCCGTTCCACCAACCCATCGATGAGAAAACCTTCCTTTTGTCGAAAGAATGACGACACAGTTGGTGATAAACACGCGTGCGGTTCCTAGACTTTCTCCTCTGGTTCTGGTAGTGGCCGGCTCTTTTCTCCATCGTCCCAGGTACGCGAGAATTACCAGATGCCCATCCACCCACTTTCCCCTCCCCACCCACTACAGACACCAGAATTCTGAGACTTGTACATACGTGTAGGGTATCCATCCTCCTCCTGACTCAATACTCACATACAAGTGCATACCTAACGACTAATTCCCTCATTCTAAGCCCGAGCCTTGAAGAAAGAAGCGGGTACCTGCATTGACTACATTTCAACATCTCCCTCGCCACCCCGATCATCCTCACAATCGGGTGTTGGGGAGTGTAGAAATGATGTCATCGGTTTAAGTGTCGATTGTGGATTACTTGCCGGTGTTGTTTTGTGCCGGATGATTCATTAAGCATAAGTTACCGGTAGGTTCGCTTTCGTTTCAGATCGAAAGTTGGGTGGTTGATCCAGGGTTTCGGGGTGGGATTTGCTTCTTGCTTTGTGGGTTGTAGGATGATTTTTTTCTGGTTAGATATAGGAGAGTTTGGATCTGGGTATTGCTGTTGATATTGCTGTTGCTATTGGGGTGGGGGTGGTTTGACTGTTGGGTTTCGGTTGTGTAGAGGATTTGGAGTTGGCTGTGGGTGGGTGGTGTTGCTGGAGGGAGTTGATTCTTTTCATGTTGTCTGGTGTATGTGCTTTGAGGGCTGGGGATGGTGTTTAGGTTGTCTAAGGGCGGTAGAGAGATTGTAGTGGTGGTGGTGGTGGTGGTGGTGGTATACGAGGTTGCTTCTTGTAGAATGTAAGGACATACATAGTACAATTATACCGACTTCTCTCTAGCTGGACGATTTTGCGATCACCCTTTGTCAAAATATGCTATGCCATGCAATGCTATGCCATGCTATGCTACATAGTATAGATATACCCTGGATGCACGCTCTGGACTGTACAGAGTACAGATGCATGCACCAATGGGTAAGTAAGGTAGCACATGACCACCACCACCACCCCCCGGGATAGCTTTACCCTTCCAGGAAATGCGGAGGTCGCCTCGGTTTTTCCTCTTCGGTCCAATTGATCCAGACACCAACCTACCAACCACTGCAATGCGCTGTACTCTGTGCCATTCCGAGAAAAGTGGTATCCTGTCTACGGGCCCTGATAGCGGTCAGCTGCGGTAGAGTAGATACCGTACTGCATGTACTGTACCTATCTTGCCGACGCCCCCCGCATCCCGCTGTGGTAACAACCGAGCTTGGTTGGATATCGTAGCTATCTAGTGTCTGTTTATCTACCTAGACACGCTCGAACCCAGTTGCGATGTGAGTCGAGGCGGAAGGAGACTGGTGAGGTTGCTGCACTTCGCCAACTCCATCTTTCTCAGATGGAGGGATAGATAAGATGCAAAGTGCGTTGAGCCATCGTGCAAGGGCTGCAAGTCACTGCATGGAGCTGCTGTCTCGCAGTGAAGCAGAAGCCGAAGCTGATAAGCAGTACATCCATCCATCCATCCATCCAGAGACGAGAGACTGATACCCAGATAAAGCTCAGCTAGCAAATCATTGCATTCTCTACATCCCCACGCTCCAATCAGCGCGGGTTGCATGCCCTGTCTCGACCATCCATCCTGTACAGTAAAATCCACCACTGGGCAATGGGCACTCTCCCTATCAAACCCAGACCAGACCAAACCAAGTTGCCATGTCATGGATGTGCTGCTGCCCGCGCGCCTTATCATCTCTGCGTTCGCGCACCCAACACAGTAAAAAGCCCTTTGCATGCTGATCACCACACCTTCGAGCCTCAGACCGAAAACGGTAGATCGAAACGAGTCGCTTGTTACATACATACATGTCCCCCCCCCCTCCCCTTCCGCTGTGATATGAGGGCGGTGGTGGATCTTTTTGTGTCTCTATGATGGGCTTGCCTTTATAATGTCGGTGCGTCCGGATGAGGTATCTGTCTATCTGTTTACCCTGTCAAGCCTGGCTGCGCTGTCTACCCTCTACGCTGTCGACATAGCAGGATAGCGATACACAACGCTGGTAAAGTCTAGAGTCTAGCTCCGATTTATTGAAACAACACCGATGAGACGGGGTTTGAGCTATGGAAACAATGTTTGACCAGAGCAACATATGGCTGCTCGGCCTCTTCATGGTCGCTGTCTCGGGGGTATATCTTGTGGTGGATAGACTGCAAGGCCGCAGCAGCACCTCCTTAATGCAGCAACTGCGCAGCTACACCCAATCGCCGATCGCAATCGCGATCGCCCGGAGCATCACACGGCCGTCTTCGCCGGCGTCGAACGAGAAACGAGCCGCCTCGAACGAGGGACCGTCCTACGTGGACGCCCTCCCGCCGCCGCGCCGGCAGGCGCTGGCCGCGCTCCAGCTTGCCGTCCCCTACCAGGCTATCGACGAGGACGAAATCAAGCGGCACATGCTGCCGATGACGGCCGACTACCGCACGAGCCCGGACAGGCGCTACACCCCGACGGGCTTCTCGGTCGCCGAGCTCAAAGCCCTCGGCGACTTCCCGGACTACGCGACCCTCAGCGGCGTGCCCCTGCCCCAGCCGTACCGGGATTTCGACATCGACCGGGCCTTGCCCCGGCCCTATCGTCCGTTCCGCTGGGCGTACCATCAGACCATGTGTATGTTCCCCTCCAACCATAGACCCGGAGGTGAAAGCTGACTCTTCCCGTGTTACGGCGCAGCCCTCACGAAGATGGAAACCGACTGGTGGATCGAGCTGGAGAACACGTACCGCGCGCGCATCGCGCAGCGCCGCGCCCTGTACGCGCAGCACGGCAGCGGCGTGCTGGGCGCCCTGCCGGGCTCCGAGCTGGCCTGCAAGGAGCTGATGGAGATGGTGCTGCAGTTCGTGTGCGCGCGCTACCCGCAGTACTTCGCCCTCGAGGACCGGCGCATCTTCCACAACCGCATCCTCGGGGTCTCGCAGGACGTCACCGCCGCCCGCCACCCGCTCGAGGTGCTCATCGACCACATCCCTGAGGACTTCGGCATCATGCTGCGCGACGAGACCACGGGGTACTACTTCCTGCGGGCCGGCGTCGTGTGCTCCTCGTTGGGGTGGAATGTCGGCAAGAAGATCGGGATGCAGCTGCATGAGATCCATGAGACGATTCCGGATTATAAGGAGAAGATGCGGTTTTCGATGGATCGGTGGGTTTTATGTCTTTTGATAGGGATGAGGGTGAAATATGTGTTGAGATGAGGCTAATTTTGATATCCGGATAGGTTCTTCACTAAGATGCCCGCCGATAAGCCTATTCAGCGTGGGTCCTGGGGTCTCGAAGTGGGCGAACCCCTGTACATGCCCCAGGGCGATCCGCACGAGGTGTTGCGGCTGTCCCAGGACCCGGCCCTCAAGCTGGAGGACTGCAACCTCCGCGTCGACTGGCAGACGCTGCGGCGGCTGCCGCTGTCGGCGGCCGTGATCTTCAACTTCAAGGCGCTGTTCACCCCCGTCACCGAGTTCCGCGACGAGCCGGGCGTGCCGGCGCTCGCGGCGACGGTCCTGAAACACGGGAAGAAGAATCTGATGGAGTACAAGGGGACGTGGCATGTAGAGCATGTGGTTTTGCCGAATCTAGAGAAATGGGCCCAAGAGCAGGAGGAGAGTGGGTTGGTTCCTAAAGGTTGGGAGGTGGCGACTCTGGAAGATAGTCCGTGGTTTAAGGGGTGGCAGGACAAGTGGCATCGGCAGCAGGGGTTTTAGAGTATTCTCATGGTTATTTGGTTGTCAAGCTGGGTGGCTTTTGTGTATGTATTGATTGGTGGTTCTCTTTGTTCAGGTGGAGATATAGGTGAGACTAAGACTTAGGTATCTCTGATTGCCCATTATTTTGTATCTTCCCTGATCGAAGGCTGAATCTGGTGCTGAGATCTAGTCTCCCTGCTGGCTGATTCCGAAGCAGAGTAGTTGACTTGAAGACTAGCGAGTGCTCTGACCTGCGCTTCTTCCGATTGTGTAGATCGTAGGGGTTTGTAATGCATCTTACCCGACGGATCGTCACGGCCAGGCCTTTAGGTACAGGGTCGATACCATCTCCTGCCTCTGACACAGGGTATGCACCTAGGCCACAGGCTGGTTTGTCAGGACATTCCCGAAACGCGGAGCACCCAGTCGGGGACTTATACGAGTCCCAGGCGGCTGCCAGCCGACTTAGCCTGCAAGAGCTAGCCAAGCGTGTAAAACGTTCTCTTTCCTTCGTGCGCATCAATGCATCCATCGATGACAGCACAACTCGCAATCTGCCACGGTCTGCCTCAATCATCCTTCTCCTCACCCTCCTCTTTGTCGTCCTCTTCATCGCTCCTCTCCATCTCCTCCAACTCCGCCTGCAACGGACTCACTCGCTCGTCCAACAACTCCAAATCCTCCAACTGCTGCCGCGGTGGCAGCTTCCACAGACTCGTACCACAGACACGATCCTTGGTCAACAGCTCATCGACGAACTGATCCACGTACGTCAGGGTGAACGAGTCGCGCACCCGGCGCTTCAGCTTCCGGTAATCTAGCAGGAGCGGCTCGAGGGTCTTGTAGACGTCCGCTGCGGGGAACGTCAGCCGCACGTAGAACGCCGCCAGCGCGCGGAGGTATTTAAAGTCGCCCCGCGCTTTGACGACCGCGTCACTTCCATCGCTGTTCTCGTCGTTGTTCCCGCCGTTATTGCCGGTCGGGTTGTTGTAGGTCGGGGGATCTTCTGTGTCGGGATCGGTGAAGTTCAAATACTCGAGGATGATGTCGCGGTCCGGGTTGAGCTGGAGGAGCTTGAAGGCGAGACACAGGAACGGGGTGGGCTTCTCGGCCACGCCGTACACGCCGCCGATGCAGGTGAGGTCGACGGCGCGGTCACACAGGGTGGCCGCGTTCAGACCGAAGCATTGCTCCTTCCAGTAGTAGGAGTCGGTGATGCGGTCGCGGACCGCCTTCTCGAAGAGCGTCGCCGGGTTGACGCCACGGATGAGCGGGCCGGTGTAGCCTCGATTGTCGAGGAAGGAAGATGCGTCGGCGCGGTGGGTCATTTTCTTTTTTTGTTTTGGAGAAAGTCAAGACGAGGGGAAAGGGAAAGGAAAGGAATGCGGAGGCGTAAGGTAAGAAGATGAGAGGGAGGGGAGTGGAAAGTTGATGGATGGCGTTCGGAGTTCGTTCTTGGCACAAGCTCCCTCTGCCAAGCCTTTTTTCTTATCGATTGTCGCGCGGACAACGAAATCACTCTTCGTCTGAAACATGGGCTAAGTCGGTGTTTATATTATGCGCCGATGATTCTATCAACGATGAGGCAATAATTATGGGTCCTACTGCTACTACTACTTAGTGGGCAGAGGAATGTGCCTGGTGGAAGGTTATTCATAACTCTATCTTTTCTTGACTGCATACACATTCCAGTACATACGCTACCATTCTTCCCCCGCATTATCATTATCAACAAGCATACTTTTCATACTTCATACTGTACATACCTCCAGCCCATGCGGCTGATATCGCAATCGCAATGGTCCTACTAACCTCCTCCACCGTTTCGGTGATCATCTCCTCCGGCATCATCTGCACCTTCACCTTCCTCCTCTTCCTGTCTGGCTACGTCCTCCAGCAACAATCCGTCCGCAACATCCAACATGCCATCCGCGCACCGGAGCTATCCCTAACCCCTCACAACGAAGGCCAACCCCTCCTCCTCAACACACCACCAAACCAGCAACCACAACAACAACAAAACCCCATAACCCAGCCAAACCAAGACCCAACCCCCGCAGCACAAGGCACCTACGCCTACCTCCAGCTCCTTACCCGCCCAGACCCAAGCCACATCTGCAGCGCGATCCTCTTCTTCCACTCCCTCACCGCAGCAACAGACCCAACCAATCGCACCCGCATCCAAGACCGTCTGTTCATGTACCCGCGCGAATGGGACCAGCTGTATACCCCCTCCAACCCCTCCAACCCCTCCAGCCTCTCCGATACTACCGACAACAAACACACAACCATAATCAAAGCCCTAACCCACCTGCGCACCGCCGCCCTAGCCAACAGCATCTGGCTCCTCCCCATCGACACAGGCCACCAAACAACAGACCCCCACCTCCTCCGCCACGGCCAAATGCAATTCGTCTCCTACGACAGCGTCCTCTACCTGCAAACCCCGGGCCTCGTCACCTCCGTACCGAATCTCGACGCCGTGCTGCTCTCGCACCCGCTCCCCGGCAAACACGATCCCGCGCGGCCGGACTCGTACAATAACCCCGCGTGGATGGCGGTGCCGCTGCGTCCGGATAGGGAGAGCGTCTTGCCGGGCAACGGGGCGTATCTGGTGACGGTCAATCGGGTGGGGAGTGTTGGGCAGGTCGAGGCGAGGGGGCATGTGATGCGGCGGGAGGTCAAGGAGGGTGGGTTTGGGGGGTTGGTTAGGGGGGTGGATGTTGATACTGATACCGGGGCTGGGGAAGAGGCTGGGTATGTGGTTTTTGAGACGGAGGAGGATGGGAGGGTGAGGTGGGAGGGGAATGAGTTGTATGGGGCGTGGAGGCGGGGGGTGGAGGGGGTTTGTCCGGGGGTGGAATTTGAGGGGTTCTATGATTGAGTTTGTTTGTTTTTTTGTTGGAGTTTACGGACGGTTTCTCTATGATGACGGTTATGATTTATGATTCTGGACCTTGGGGTTCGTATTCGGTGTGTGGGGTGTTATATATGCGTTGTGATGAGAATTGATGCTATAGATTAACACTATATTCTGGCAGTGGGTTTGGGGACGAAGCTGTAGACTTGAAGGCCAGAGGGTAGTCACTGTTGTGGTCTTTGATGTACCATATCTATGGCCTGTAAGTAATATAGGGTGACGTTGTTTAATGGTATGCAGCTGGGACCGGCTACTACGCACACTCCAAGCAACCCTCTAGTGAAGACACCTCACCAAACATCCGAGGCATCACCGAGGCACCCCGATCTCATATCCCAACAACACCTCCGTCGTGTTCCCCTCCCATCCCCGGTTCCCACTCGTCGACACCATAAACCGACACGCCTGGTCGATGTACAGCTGCGACACCGTACCCGTCCGATGTCCCGGGATGATGAGGAAAGGCACCGTCGAGTGTCGAGTCACCTGCTCATGCTTCAGATCGTACAGTCGAAGGATATCATGAGATGCACTGCATCATATCAGTCAGCTTGATTATTCTGCACATCAACAGACCAAACCTACCAGACAATATGCCGGCCATTGGGCATCGCCCTCAGCGCCGTCACCGGCCCGCTACCCTGCGGGAACTTGAACGTCCGCTCCGGATCCCGCAGCCCCTTGTGGAGACTGTATTCCTCCACGGTCCCATTACGCCGTCCCGCGTAGATGTAGTTCCCGTCCGGGGACCAGCACGCATTCATACACCATGGAGGAGCATTGCGCGGGATGATCCGCGCCACCGGGTCCGGCTGCCGTCGATCCCAGATGCGGATCGTGCCGTCGATCGACGCCCCTAGGAAGGTGTTGTCGTTGCTGGGCGTGTGCTCGGGCTGTGCCGGCTCGCTGAATGCAGTGCTCTGTGCGGTCGGCTCGATCTCCTCCGCGTGAGGCAGGCCGTTGACGACCGGCGGGGAAGCGCCGTTGGGCTGAGTTGGGTCGGTCGAATCCGGCGCCTGGTCCATGGCATTCGGGTCGGTGGGCGCGGGACCGGCATCCGCGGGCGCTGGGGGTGGAGGTGGTGCTGCTTCTGCCACTTCATTGTGGCTCGTCTCCGGCTCGCCGGGGGCATCGGCCTCCGGAGGCACTCCGTTGGTGAGTGCTTTGCCAAACTCGTCATCTTCATCAATGCCGAATGCGTTGCCTGATCCGCCCGCCTCATCACCGCCGGGCCCGTCGCCATCGCCGAACAGAGAGTCGGCGCCGCCAAAGAGCGAGTCCGCTGGCGAGCCCGCCTGCGGGTCCGGGTCAGCGTCATTCTCGCCTTGGTCGTTGGACGTGTCCATGAATCCGAAGCTGTTCTCCCCTCCTGCTGCCTGGTAGTTCGATGAGTATGTGCCGTTCGGCTGCGGCGGCTCGATGATATCCTTCGGCACAGGGAGGCTGGACTCCGGGCGCATCTCGATCGCCGAAATCTGCCCCGCGGTCGACCCGAACGCGCGGCGCGTCTGTCCGGTGTTCAGATCCCAGTCAAAGAGCCGCTTGTCCCAGCTGCCGGACAGCAGGGACTTCTCGTCGGAGGTCAGGGTCAGCACGGAGACTGCCGAGGTGTGCTGCCGCAGGAGAGCGATCTCCTTGCCCTCCTCGTGGCGGACGGACTGCAGGCGGATGTTGCCCGACTCCTGACCAGACAGCAGCCACAGTCCCTCACTCTGGCTCGCCAGCGAGTAGACCGGCGATATCGTGTTCCCATCCATGTTCTCCCAGTATGTCATCAGCACGCCAGCCTTGATCACGCTGTCCACGAACGGGTGCCGCTGCGCGACCGTAAGCATCAGCTTGCTGTTTATCGAGTCCACCCAGTTAAATTTCCGCACGTATCCGTCCGAGCCCCCGCTGAACACCCATCGCATATCTGCCGTGGCCGTCACCGCGTTGATCGAGGTGCTGTGCGGGGCCGCCGTCGTGGGGACGATGTCGAACGTCGAGGCCGTGAGGCACTCCGGTCGCACCGGAGGGTGGTATACAGATACCGGAGACGCGACGTTCGCAGCCCCCGGCGACGTCATCTCCACGTCCTGATTCTGTTGCGTCGCGACCCCCGCGCTCTCCGACACGTTGGACTGGCTTTCCGCATCGGGGTCGGCGTCTTCGGCGTCGGCGTCCGCTTCGTTGTCGTTGACCCCGTCGTCTGCATCTCGGAGCGTATCGTCCATCTCATTGTCGGAGCTGCCGTCTTGGGAGCCTATTGTCGCGGGAATGTGTTAGTCGACTGCTGTTGAAAGAGGTCATGGGAGGGAGGAGGGGGTCTCTACCGGCAAGATCGCGATCGTCGTCATCTTCTGCGAGGGAGGCCATTTTGCAACAGGAAATCGCCGGAGATTATAGCTATATGTGAAAGCAAGGGAGTGAGCGGCAGCGCGAGTGTGTAGTCACCAGTAATATAGAGTGTATGCACGGCTGGGGTTGCTAGAACCCTTGTCGGTGGGTAGGGTGGGGGCTTCAATAAGAGGTCAATGAATCGGGGTTATTGGAGTCGCATGCCATGCGCGCGTTGTACTGTTCTAGTTTCAGTGAATATTGCCGTTATATAGAGGTCTTCGAGAGCACATTTCTCGGGATTATAGGTCGAATTGTATCAGTACCTCCATTGACGCCCCCAAATCTAGAGTACTGCGATATAGGCCAAGGATTGCGATCAGTTGGTGAATCGCTCATGGCTGTACCTTTTCCCCGGGGCGAGCATGCTGACCGCCTAGTCGGTGCCTGAGTATGGAGGCTGCAAAGAGGCATGCCGAACACGGTTAGCGGAGTCTTTCCCCGGATTAGCATTTTTCGACAGAGTGGGTATACTTCAATTCATGATGGATGTTGTGGCTGTTTGCTGGCGGCCGCAGCTTCTTTGTATCCTGTTCATTTTGGTAGATCTAGGAGGATGAGGTCTTCTTGCTGGAAAAATGCTGTGGCTCTACTTGCAAAGTAATTCCAGGTGGCACGCTTTTATACGTCCATACAGCCAGGGCCTAGATCTTCGCTGGGGATGTCTGTTTGCCGGCATTGTAGCTCATGCAAACGAACAACGACCCGGCTATGCTTTTAGGATGACTGGCTGGTTCTCAGTTTGTCTGAGTCAATTACGCGATGCTTAGGAAGTTTTATAGTCAATAATTCATGGAAAAGACAAACAGACTCTATGAAAATATGTAAATAACACCTAGGTCTGGCGATTGCAATAGCCTCGAGGTGAAGCAACATCCCGCATAAGAAAGAGAAGGTGAAGGAAGCTATAGAGCTGTAGACTTAAGCCAGCTGTGTTCCACTGTGTGAATTAGGCCAAACTTTTTTTATCTGAACAAGTTACTGAGAAACCGCGCCTCTGGAAAGCCAGGGACCTCTTTCTTACTTGCT